TGAAGATATGGGGAGGATAGCACAGGGATGGATGTTCTGGCTCAGACTTTGAAGTGCTATTCAGGCCAAAAGCACTACAGTCATCTACCTGGTAGAATGGAAAGCTTCCTCCACGGATAGACTGGTGACTGACTTGAAGGGCCAAACCTATAGGATATTGCAGAAGCAATCATTGGGATATGTTCTAATCATCACTCCATTGTTTTGTCTCTATATTCAAGGACCCAGAGCCAGAACTATGAAAGAACTGAAAGTCAGGAGTCATATCTTGGTCCTAGACCCTCAGGAAAGCCAGTTCATAGAATCCATACAGTGCAGAAAGAGGTCATTCAGCCTATCAAGTCTGCACCAGCCCTCTGAAGAGGGTCCCACCAAGATCTAGCCCCTTACCTCATCTCTGTAACCTCCACATGGGTTTTTGTATCATGGCTAACCCACCTAATGGGGCATTTTTTTTTTGCATGGCCAATCCACCTAATCTGCACATCTTTGGACTGTGGGACAAAACCAGAGCACCTGGAGGAAACCCATACAGATACAGGGAGAATATGCAAACTCCATGCAGATAGTTGCACAAGGATGGAATTGAACCCAGGTGTCTGGCACTATACAGTAGTACTAGCCACTGAGCCACCATGGACCACAGAGGTACAATTCCTGTGCAAAACCATCCAGTCGGACACTTGACTGTGGTCAACACCTGAGAATGGCATGGAAGTTCACCTTCAACTAACTGAGCTGGGCCCCCTGGTTTCCCCTGGACTTCATTGCAGACTACTCCCCTAAGGCTTTCTGACATGTCCCACTGCCTGCTGCAGATGCTGTGTGCTTAAGGCAAACACTAAGGTCACATGATACATGTGCTAGATTGATGTAGCGCCCTGACGTATAAAAAAATTGTACGTGCCCTGGACTGAGAACTGATGCACAGCATGACCACCTGCCTGATTGTATGACTGCACCACTTGTCACTGCAAGTCTTGACAGGTGCATGTGGAAGGCATATTTCCTCATGTGAGCAAATGTGATTCTAGGGGTTACTGTTTTAAAATAAAGTGTTACCCATTTAAGACAGATACTAGAAGACTTTCTATCTAACAGAGGATGTGACTCTTTGGAACTCTTCCTCAAAAGGTGATGGAAGAAGAGTCTAAAATTTTTAAGGCAGGGATATGTAGATTTTTTATAAACAAGAGAGAACATGTTGTGGGCATAGGTGAGAATGTGAAGTATTCAGATCAGCTATGATCTTCTGAATGGTGGAGTAGGCTAGAAGGGCTGAAAGGCCTAGTGTACTCCTAATTTGTATGTCATATGTGTGTTGCCATGTAGGTAGGAGTCCAAGTTGTAAGGATACATAGAGACTGCAAAGGAATATGAATAGGTTAAGTGAGCACACAAAAAAATTTACAAGGGGAGTATAAATGGGAAAATATAAGTTATCCACTTTTGGCAGGAATAATAGAAAAAGCAGAATGTTATTAAAGTAAAGAGAGATTGCAGAATGCTGCAGTACAGATTTATCTCTGTGTGCTTGTGCATGAAAACATTACATTGTATGTACAGCAAGTAATTATGAAGGCAAAATTTAAGAGGGAATAAGTATATAAGTAGCTAAATCTTGTTATAGGGCTTTGGTGAGGCCACATTTAGAGTCCTGTGTACAGTTTTGCTCTCCTTACTTATGGAAAGATATATCTGCATTAGAAATAGTCCAGAGAAGGCTCACTAAGCTGATTTTGGAAGATGAAGGTATTGTCTTATGAGGAAAGGAAGTGCGGATTGGGCCTATGTTCATTGGAGTTTTAAAAAAATGAAAGGTTATCTAAGTGAAATACATAAAATTCTGTGGGCACTTGAAAGGGTATATGCTAAGACGATATTTCAGCTCATGGGGAATCTGGAACTGGGGGCTGTGTTTAAAATTAATGGTGCCTCCCATTAAAAGTAGAGGTGAGTAGGAATTTATTTTCTCAGTGGGTTATTAATCGTTGGAATTCTTTTCCATGTAAAACAATGGAGACTAGATCATTGAATATATTTAAGGTAAAGTTAGACAGATTTTTTTATTGACAAGGATTACAGGAGACAGGCATGTAAATTGGAGTTAAATCCATAATCTTATGATCATATACGAACTGTGTCTGAGTGACTTGCAACAACTATTCCAGTTCTTCCGAAGCAAGAATGAGAACAATTGAATGAAGGAAAATGGTATATTTGTTTGATTACAACTTAATTGTCACTTCAGATACCCATTGTGATGAACAGAGAAATACTCTCAATATGCAAAAAGAAGTCTTGCAGCCAAACTTCTAGCTTCAGTTGTAAGGTATTTATTGACAAATCCTTTCTAAGATCTTTTTGTAACAACCTTAAATATTATTTCTAGTAGGACACAAAATAAATTTAAAATTTTATCTTTGTCACAAAATACTTTCTTAGTCCCAGTCATCCTGTGGCAGAAAAGCCAAATCCATAAGATCTTATTTTAAAGAAGAAAGCTTCCAGATAAATGTAGGTCTGGCACAAGGGATATTATGACTAGACTCTACTGATATTCCCCAAATTATGACAGTTCCAGAGAGATACCCCAAACTGTTAAGCTCTTGTTTGACAAGGGATGAACTGGCTCCCCTTCTATATTTACCCGTACCCTTGTTGGTCGCAACAGGTTCAGTTGAAAAAGATCTCTTCCTTGTGACGCCTTTCTTCCAGACCAAATGAATTTATATTTCAAGACAAGCCAATTAATCAGGCTTTCTTGAGTTAACAAAAGAGTAGTTTATTAGTTACCAAATGCAAAAACAAATTAATAATGCAACAAACATACACAGATTACGAATAAGAAGTGAGTCCTAACAAAAGATAAAAATTAAAAGATATACGGATCAGTCTATCTTGGTTGTTCATGAGGAGTAGACCATAAAACGTTAATATTTGGGATTCTTGGTTTATGCAGGTCAATTGAAGTACTTTTGTTCTGTTTCCTTTGACGGTGGGTAGTTGGCAGTACTCATGCTGAGAGAGTCCTTATTGTCTTGTTTCCTTCTGTCTGAGGAAGGGTCACTGGACCCAAAATGTTAACTCTGTTTTTGCCTTCACAGATGCTGCCAGACCTGCTGAGCTTTTCCAGCAACTTTGTTTATGTTCCTGATTTACAGCATCCACAGTTCTTTCGGTTTTTAGTTTGTTGGCTAGTTGGTTTCCAGCACTCAGACTAAGGGAACTATTTTACTTGCAGTGCAGGGGCAATAAATAGGTGGTTCTTTACCATGAATTTTCACAGCATGCTAGGGCTTAAACCCAAGCTGGCACATATGAACTTCAGTTCATGAGTACACCTTCTCCCACTTGAACAAAACAAGTTTGCAGTTAGTTTTTAACTCCTTTTTTGAATATTCCTGGGAGAGCAAAATACAAAAAAATGGCTGCAGCACATAGCTTTCTGCTGATAGATGGCCCTCTCATTATTGCTTAATGTTACATCTCTCTCTCAGTTTGAAGTTTCTCTGACATTGTCAAGGTGTGACTTTCCATGGGTCCAACACAAGACTTTGCCAGACAACCTTTTTTTGTTTGTAGCAGTCCCCTTTGAAAAAAAAAAAGATTTTGAAATTAAATGGTAGTACCTCAGAGTTCTGATCAGTCATCATGATAGGGATGTCCTTCAACTGTGTATAAAAGATGGAAGTGTCAATCCCTACAGCAGTGATTTCCCAATGATTATCAGCAATGAAGATCACAGGAAATATATTGGTTCTAGGAAGACATGTAGCTCAGCAGGCTTTCCTTTCACACTATTCTCTGGCCTGTAATGCACTCCTACTTTCATTTTAATTTCAATCTGAACAGATAGACTTGGCTGGATTTTCCTGTTTAGAAACATATTGGACACAATAGTGCTGCTGAACCACAAACTAACCTAAATAAACACTATATTTTCTCCCGAGAGTTTAAAGGTATAGATCTGTGCTTATTTTGATACTCTCAGATCTTACAGTATTTGTATTAAGTGGAAACACCAGATGTTTTAGTAGCAGGGAAATAGAATTGGTAAGAGCAGACAAGTTTTCATGAATATGACAGGCAGGGATGTGTAATTACAACACAAGTTTACAGGTCATTTACATTCAAAATGTGGTTAGAGAAATTTATTATGGAAAAGTTAACACAAAAGTATGACAACAGAAAGTTTGATTTGTAGCAAGAAAAGTGATATGAGTTTTTATTTGTACATCTTTTGATCTGGGCAGGATCATCTAACCTTCTGTCGTGCAGCCTCATTAAAGCATATCTGAATTAATTTGAGAATGTATTTTTTCAATAATTTTTGTTCAGTCCTGCAGCTCATGAGCTGTGTCCAATCTCCTTTTCTCTAGTGGTTATCAAACGTCTAACCTAGGCAGCCTGTTCTGAGTAGTAGAGAAGTGGGTGGGACATTTTAGAGAGATGCTTGTGAATACTGCTTTTATAAGGACATTGCCATTATCGGAATTTGGTATGCCCCAGGTTATTTAAAAGCAAAAGCCTTACGCTGTTTCCGAGTGCAATGATTGAGATGGAGTCGGTTCTCATGGTCTCGAAAAAGGATGTACTGTCCACAGCTTTTAATGTCGAGCTTCCTTCTCACGTTGTGTTATGACTTTGCGGAATGGATGATGGGAGGGAAAATCGAACGAATCCAGTTTTACTTATGTCTAGTGCAGACTAAATATGAAGATGCATTATCGCTACAACTGAATATGGTTTGTGGCGCCTATCGGCAAAATGAAAAATTATAACCATCATCACGTGTTAGATTTGCAGGTTATATTCATGTGAATGACATAAAACTGTATTTTTTTATGAGAACTCCTTTACAACAGCGAAAAACAAAATCTCGCAAGTTGTTGGAATGCTCTTTGCAGTGACCTGCCTGTTGCTATGTTGGAGACGCGCGTGTGTAACCTAGCAACTGACAAGCAACATGACGTTCTCCAGGTGCACTTTGACAAAACAATCCTTACGAGCAGGCCTCAGGTAAAGCTCAATACTTGTTATCACTTCCTCCACCAAAATGCAGCAAGCTCCAAAGGAGCAAGTTTCCAGCGAACAAATGGTCACCAGCCGGTTTTAGTAAGTATAATCTTAACAAACATTCCAACCAACTCGAAACTCACCAAGACAAATTAAAATGAAGAACAATGACCTCGCTGTGCTGGAGTTCCCTGGCACATTTCTCGACGAAAATCAAAAGGGAATAGTTAGACCACCAGCAAACTCCAGGCTTAATGCAAACAAAAATCGCTCTTACTTATTTATTTGGGAACGGAACACAATAATTATATTTGTGCTGGGGCTCGATCAATCATTCTTTCCACGCAAGAGACATCCTGAGAAGCAATTTAACTAATCAGGCCGTGTGCTCATAAGCAAGAACCGCTGTACAAGCAAATACTTAAAAAGCATCCCTCTGAAAGGATTTTTAAGATAGCTTTTACTCTATTAAGTAAAAAATTTTGACACCAGGATTCACCTAAACGGTGATTAAACCCATCACCAATACCAAAAGTAACCTTATACTTGAATATACATTATACGGTAGTGTTTTCTTTACCTTTGACTTTAATTGGAAAGCTACGTACTGACAATTTTAACGAATAATCATATAATATCTAAACGCTGACCATGGCTCAGAAAATAGGTTGGTAACATTTTTACAGTCAGACGTTTGACTTGGCTCCAGTAGCTTGTTTATATTAATACTTCTTGAAGGTACTTCTAAATTGCCAGGTAGCAGATCAGCTTCGACAAAGCAGACATTCCATTTAGCCATATACTATTTTGTGGCTCCTATTCTCACAGATTATGACTAATCATTGTTATTAATTCTTTTGCACACAAGAAGTGCGTAATTGTCAATGATCATCATGTTGAACTGTTAAAAAGGCAAATTTGTCAATTTGAGAGAAGATCTGTGTCCTTTAGTTTTCCCACTAAAACTAACATGAGATAACCCCTATACTAAACTTTTTAAAAAACATTTCTGTAACTTACATGAAGTTAAATAATTTTCTGGAAAAAAGTTTATAGGTCCTTGCAAAAAAAAAGTGATTATAATGTTGATTTAATTGTTTTTCAATAACTGATAAATGTTTGAACAATTTTATTATTAACTTGGAATAAAAGTCAGATCAAAAAGTATGTGCTTCACTTAAAACTTAATTGTAATTATGTTTTGTAAAATGTAGCATGAATGTGGACCTATTAGTATTTGCTTATGATCATGGACTTGTCTGTCAAACATTCATAGGATTCAGGCTATATGACCAATCTAATTTATATCCTAAAATATCCTAAACTTTACAATGCTAACACCTGTTCCAAAGTGCAAAATTGTATATTGTTTGGTGCAGATCAGATACATAAGAACGTGAAAAATAGGAAAAGGTGTTGGTGATCCAACTGTTGGGTAGTCGATAAGATTGAATCATCTTTTACCTCAACTCCACCTTCTTCTATGAATTTACCATGAAGGACTTTCCTCTTCAACCTCTTCCCTCAACTGAGGCGTGGTGACCCTCACGTTTAACCACCACCAGTCATCTTTCTCCGATTAGAGCAGCCCTATGGTCTGGTAGGACAATGGTGACTTTACCTGTAATTTGCCTTCAACTTTGATTTCCAAAAATCCTATAGATTCAAAACAAAGTGCTTGTGGGATTGACTGGTTCGAACTCAGCAGACTGAGGTTATCAGTGAAATACTCCTGATCTAAATTAGCTCTAAAATAAGAGTTAAAAGCTGTAAATCACATCAGTTGGACTCTGTGTAAATTTTGTGCTTTTGTGTTTTATCAGAAAATGGTGACAAAGTTTGTAAAGGAATAACTTATATTCATTACATTCTCTAATAAGAATCATTTTGAAGTTACAATGAAAATAAGTTAGAAAGGTGAAATACATTTTGTCCCATTTATACATTGCTCTGGTTAAGAGAAGCATATCATTTTAAATTGAATGCCAATTGTACAATCTCCCAGAATGCAAAAACACTTCTTGTAATTGACTGTTGCGTTATGATCTCTCCACTCTATTAGCATTTCATTCATTGAGAGATTTTGACAAACTGCTTAATCATTTTGAAGTGAATTGCCAACCCATTAACCATTGGCCTATAAAAACAATTGTGGAACAAAACAGCTTGTGAGCAAGTTGTCCAAATATAACAGACAACAAAATTTTCTGGATGCCGTTTACTGATAAGCACTATAATAGATTGTCTATCATAATTGGGTGTTATTTGTAATCCAGTATTAATGCATTTGGCACACTTTGATAGAGTCAGACTGAGCAGATGGCTCTGAATCATGATTTCTAGTGGGATAGTCATGTCAGGTGGATGGCCCTACCATCATTCTATGAATAGTGGAAGCTCAGAAAGTTCTTCTGTGTAGGACTAACCATCTTAATGACTATACCATATCAAAATTATTGCAACCACAGAGGAAAGTTCATATTGTGTCCTGTCAAACTATTACTTAGCCTTTGAATGTAACCAATGATTCACATTATAGTTCTGGGGAAAAAAATGAAAAGCTATTAAAAAAGTGATGAGTTAAATGAACTGACTAATTCAGTCAAGTGTTATGGGATGATTGCTAGTCCAATTAATTTAAATCATCCTGAATATTTGGAATTTCAAACTGACATTCTTTATCATCATTCATCAGACTTTAACTGCAGCATTAAATGAAAAGGGTTTTGCTTCAGAAGAGAGAACATGGCACATGCCCTTGTACTAGAGTAATGCTATTAGAGTAAGAAATAAAGAAAGAAAAGTGTAAACATGCAGATTGAGAAAATGATCTCAAACCAGTGAAAGGGTACCAGCCCTAAACGTAACAGACCTATTATAGGAACACCGCACATTGAAAGGTGCAGACATTCCAGGAGGTACATGTGACACAGTGTATCAACGGGACAGGAGTGATTCTCTGGTCTGTAGTTGCAGAGGTCATTGCAGTCAAATTGGGATGAATTGTAGGAGTGCCGTTTTCAGTCTCAGGCTGTAGTTATTTTTAATCAATGTTCAGAGATGTTATTACACATCTCTGAAGCGTGTGGGACTTAAACCTAAGCCTCCTGGCTGAGAGGTAGGGACACTACCACTGTGCCCTGAGGGCCCTAGTCCCTGGCTGTATACTTTAGAATTCATTTGCATCCGAGCAGAAACATGGCCAGAAGTGTGCAGTTACATCTGTACCATGATTGGTCGGAAGTCAATCTGTTATTCTCCTTTCACTATTCATTTCAGTCTTTACTTTCCTGTTTCTTCATTTCTTTTTCTTTATCTCTTTATCTTCTATATTTCTTAACTGTGCTTTCTCTTTTTTTGGCCTATCTGACTGAGAAATTTGCAACTCCTTAAATCCTCCACTGAGAGGAACAGCAGTCGTCACTTGTCTGATAATTAGATTCGTCAAGGGATAGTGAATGAATTCTTTGTACAGGAAATGCGTGAGTGGCAGGGAAATTCTGGAGAGAGGAGCAATAATTTTGTATAATTGAGGTTCCATCAGCTTGATTGGGCATTCTTGATCCACATATTCACCATTCTTCTTCTAGCCATGTATCACAAAATTTGACAATATTGAGAGTGAGATTCCTGGACTTTGAAACTTCAGCAATGGCATAGTATAGCATCGTTCATTTAAGGAAGTTCTACCATTATTCCAACATTCACAGTTTGAAAAGGAGCTTTTTGATCTCTTAACCATCTGTGAGTATACTGTATGCATAACCCTGTGAAACTTGTGACTATTTTGAATAGGACTTCTAAAATGACTTTAGAGAGGAGTTGTTAGTCTCTATGTGCTCAGTTATTGTACATATGGTGATTCTCAGTACTCTTTGTTAGTACAGATGCTTCTGTCTGTAACAGAGCTTCCAGGAATAGATGACAATGGTGAGAGAGGGCAGCGAATAGGGCAGCTGAAGCAGACAAGTGGATCCTCTCTGGAGGAAAGGGTATCTTTGGGGGAAGGGGACCTCACTGGGAGAAGCATCAGACGGGCAAAGAATTTCTTAAACTGGACGTAAAAAATCATAGGCTTAATTCCAAGTAAATACTGTGTCTGCCATTTTTGATTTTAATTTTCCTTCATCTTTGTAGTGACCTAATGTCAACGGAATAAAGGATCCCTACTTTTTGTTCTTTGGGCTGTCTGTATGTTCACATCTCATGGCGTAATCAACAGGGATCCATAGCATAAACACCAAGTCATGGCAGATGAGGTTGAAAGGTGCCTGTTTGAGAAGGAGCAGATGGTGGGGGATTTCAAACTGGCATTGTCTATGTGGGAGGCTGAAGCTACTCCAGCATCATTCAAGGTTTAGCAGAGAAAATTAGACCTGTAGGTCAAACCCAGGCAGAGGCCTCCCATCTGCATTCCTTTGACACTGCAGAGGAAGAAATTAGAACTCCTGGTTGGATATTCCGTCCATTGGAGTAGGAAGCTGGAGGGATACAGGGGAAGACTGGAAGCACCCGATGATCTGGTACTTCTGAAGGACTGCCTCATGAGAGCAGTGACAGATGGGAGCCTCCAAATTGAGTTGAGGAGGCTTAATAGTAACAAAGCACAGATCCAGACTTTGCTGTCCTATCACCATGGTAAGCCTCACGGCCAATCCCACTGAAGGGCTGTTCCAAAGGGGTTTTGGACTTGTGACAAGGCCGAGCTTTTCCAACAGGACTGTTCTCAACAACCACGGCCACCACTGCTGTCAGACACAGAGACCCCATCCAGGCTTTCCTTTCTCATCAGAAGTTCAACCGTCTGGGTCTCCCGTCAAGAACTAGTAGGGGGAACCAAGTTCCTCCAGGTAGAGGTTCAGTCTTATGTAGAGTGATAGGAGTGTGCCTTACAGTAAACGTGAAATTTGACAGATGAAATGCATCATTCTTAATTGATTCAGGAATGGAGTTCTCAACTCTTAATCACCAGATTTTCTGTGAGCGTCTTGCTGAGGAGTGTGAGCTGGTTGTTGGCTCTTTCCTCATCTAAGTCAGCCATCTTTGCAATCACAGTTTTCATAAGTTGGGGGTATATGGTAGTTTGCCCAATCTGTATT